GGGCTGGGGATTTAGCTCAGCGGCAAAAAGCACCTGCCTGGCAAGTGCAAGGTCGTGAGTTCGGTTCCCGGTACCGGAAAAAAAAAAAAAAAAAAAAAAAAGGAAACTCAGAATGCAGATACCCATATTTTAACTTGGGAAGCCAGTTCCCAAACTACATTCCAGAAGCTTAAACAAGTGCTTCTAAAATCTCTGGCATAGGCCAAAGATATAGCTCAGTGGCACAAGTGCCTGCCTGGCAAATACAAGGTCCTGAGTTCGATTCCTGGTACCAAAAAATAAAATAAAGGCCCTGGCATGGAGCCTCCCAACAGGACATGGTTTCAATCTATGAAGGCAGAGTGTATACTTTCAGATATGAAATGGTTATATATGGTTACTCCCACTTCAGGACACCTCAGTAGAAAGGCCCCCTTATGTTGGAACAAAAAGATCACTCCTACATTTATTGGCCTGACTCTGTTAAATACTTGCCCCTGAGTAAAATATACATATCACAACTTTTTTTTGTACCAGGAATTGAACTCAGGACCTTGTACTTGCCAGGCAGGCACTTGTGCCACTGAACTATATCCCCGGCCCCTACATATTACAACTTTACAGGTTGAGGACTAGTTTGCAACAGATTGGTTTCTTTGGCTTTGTTTCCTCCAGACTTAAAGCTTCATATCTACCCAAGATAAGAATGCCTGGCATCTGTCAAGGGCTTTTAGATTGACCCCCTGAGGAGTATCTCTGACAGCCAGCCATGACTACGACCCCTCTCAGCTGGAAGTAGCCAGAGCTGTCTTCACCCATTGCCCCCTCACTGTAGTTTGGGATACCTGTTCAGAGGGGAAATAATATAGACAGCTAAGTTAGATAGAAAATAACAGGCAGTCAGATTGAAGGGGGAAATTAAAATTTTATTTTATTTTATTTTATTTTGTATTTATTTTTTGTCTTTTCGAGACAGGGTCTCGCTATGCAGTTCAGGCTGGCCTTGAGCTCACTTTGTAGCCCAGGCTAGTCTTGAACTCGCAACGATCCTTCTGCCTCAGAGGCATGTGCCACCACGCCCGTCTTAAAATTTAATTTAACTTAACTTTATTTTATTTTTGTAATTTTGAGACAGGGTCTCCCTATGCAGTTCAGGCTGGCCTTGAGCTCACTTTGTAGCCTAGGCTGGTCTCAAACTCACAATGATTCTCCTGCCTCAGCCTCCCAAGTGCTGGGATTACAGGTGTGTGCCACCATGCCCGGCCTCCCTTTGTGATCTTTTTAAAAAAAATTTTGTTGTTTTTTGAGATAAGGTCTTCTATGTAGTTTAAGCTAGCCTTGAACCCATTATGTAGCCCAGGCTGGCCTCAAACTCACAGGGATCCTCCTGCCTCAGCCTCCCAAGTGCTGGGATTACAGGTGTGTATCACCACACCTGGCTCTACCTTGTGATTTTGCCCTGTAAAACATTTTTGTTGAAATAGCCTCTGTGGTAATCCTTTTGGGGCCCCTCCTATCTCTCAGGAGCTTTCTCTTAAAAAACTTTTCTTACTCTTAACCTCCTTTGTTTCTTGGATATTTGGGGACATTCTTTGATATTTGAGGGAATTTGACTCAGCACATCTGACATCTAGCAAGTTGAGAGTTATTTTTCCTCCTCACATTATGAAAGTTTTAAAAATGTACAAAAATAGCCACGCATGGTGGCACACCCCTGTAATCCCAGCACTCAGAAGGCTGAAGCCGGAGGATTGCTGTGAGTTCAAGGCCACCCTGGGCTACATAGTGAGTTTAAGGTGGGCCTGCATTACATAGTGAGACCCTGTCTCAAAAAAAAGTGCAAAAATATGTTAATAGGTAGAAAGTGCTAAGTGAATTTAAAAACTAAGGAAAAAGGCAGTGCAGTGTTACCTGGCCTTTCCTGGTCTTGGTGACCCAAGGAGAAGAATTTGCCTGGACCATCTAAAGACCACACACAAGCCTGAAAGCAGTTTGAAAGGGCAAGAGTTTATTGCGAAGGATAGGCCTACAGTCAAGTCAGGCCACCATAAGAGTGTGAACAACACTGAGTTTCTTTGTTCTGGTTTCTTTTATTTTTCTATACTTCCAGGCTTTGGATATTCACTGCCCTACTCTTACATATTCATGAGTTACCCCTACCCTACTTTCAATTTTGAAGTGTGCATGTATTTTCTCACTGTTGGTCAATAATTAATTTATGCAGTGCCTATGTATGAGGCCGTTAGCAGCTGTTAAAGAAGAGAGGTCACCCCAAGGACGCTCCGGGCAGTCAAGGCTCATGCCCCACCGAGTGGAAAGTCCCTAGTCCTCCTTTGTGCTTAGTTTGCGGTTTCCTCTCCACCTAGGGTCCTTTTCCAAGCGGCTGAGGTCACTTCACACCCTAGTCCACATCGCACTTCCCATCACGGCAGAGAGCAGCTTGTAGCAGTTCAGACAACCTCAGCCACGTGCGGGAAAGCACAGCTGTGGCGCCGCCTACCCTCTCCCACCGTTCACGTCAGACTGCCTACCTATAGCAACGAGCCTCAGCTTCCAGTTCCGTGAAACAGTTTCTGTCAAGGTCTGACATGGTATAAAGTGCCTCGCTTAGGCTGAGGCAGGAGGATCGCTGAGAGTTTGCGGGCAGCCTGGGCTACAAAGTGAGCTCAAGGTCAGCCTGACCTGCATGGCCACAACCTGTCTCAAAAAGACAAAAAAAAAAAAAAAAAAAAAAGTGCCTAGCTCACTAAATGTTTCGCACCATAATCATTGTAATTGTAACTAGTAAGTGTATGGAAATTTAAAAATATGCATCTCCTGCTCTGCTAGGAATGAAATAAAATCGTTCCTTCAGAAAATAAAGGAAAGCAAGCTAAGAGAGAAGAGCGAGGAAAACTGAATATTGGACATGGAAAAAATTTCATTCTGCTTTCTGTGCTCAAAGTATCTGTCTCCGTCATACGGTATTCGCACAGTAACAAGAGACTTGACACCTCGGAACCTGAATGTTCTGACGGAATAACCCAGGGTCGAGGTAGGCGTTCGCTCCGCCCGCCGCAGGACGTGGGCGGGGCGTGGTCACTGTGGCGCGCCCTCGCCCGGGCTTTTCCCGCGGCGCACATACATGACGTAGGCAGCGCGCCAAGATTCTTCCAGCCGCCGTAGACAGGAGATATCTTTCACGTGAGTAAAGTTTCCGCGAGTTGATGGAGACCTTGCTGGAGCAGCCCTTCGTCACCCGTCCCATGTCCGGGCAGGCCTCATCAGTGTCCCCACTAGGCTGAGCTGGGGACAGCTGGGTCCCATGTGCCTGCTGTAGTAGGGGCGTCTTTTCGTCTGCTCCTGCACGCGTTCTCCAGACGCTGGACGTGGGTGACTGAATTTAGCTCCCTTTGTGTCATTTATTCTCAAAAGAAAATTTCTCGATCACCTGCTTTTATTTTGTTTCGTTTTTGTATGTTTGAGATCTGGTCTCGTTCTGGGATTGCAGGCGTGAGCTACCACTCCCAGCCAGTCACCTGCTTTGGGTCAGGCACCATGGTAGTCCATGGGGACGCAGCCCTGGTGCAGACAAACCCTGTACCTCTGGGGCTTGTATTTCACTAGGAGTGATAGGTGAGTTTTAAAATCATTCCGGGAAGACTGGCCTGAAGGGGGAAGGAAGTAAGGGAGTTCTTGCCTGGCGTGGTGGCGCACATCCTGTAATCCTGGCACTCCAGAAGTTGAGGCAGGAGGATCTCGATTTCCGAGACCATGCCTGGACTACAAGGGATGTTCAAGGCCAACATGGACTATATAGTGAGTGCCTGTTTCAACCTTCTCTCATCCAGAAAAAAAAAAGAAGAAGAAAGAATTCAGTACAAAAGTTTAAACTTTCTTGTTTTTAAGTCCCGGGTTCCTCATCACTCCAGTCTAAGACAGGAGGATTGTGAGTTCAAGGCTAACCTAGGCTACAGAGTGAAACCCTGTCACAAATATATATTAAACTGAGCTTGGCCAGGCATAGTGGCACACATCTGTAATCCCCCCCTCCTACGTGGCACTCAGGAGGCTGAGGCAGGAGGATTGTTGTGAGTTCGAGGCCAGCTTGGGCTACAAAGTGAGCTCAAGGCCAGCCTGAACTGCATAGCGAGACCCTGTCTCAAAAAAGACAAAAAAACAAAAAACAACTGGGCTTGGTGGCCTATGTATGTAATCCCCATACATGGGAGGCTGAAGTAAGAGGACCTCTACAAATTTGAGGTCACACTGGACTACATAAAGAGTTCAAGGCTAGCTTGAAGTACTCTGCATAGCTAGACCCTATCTCAGAAACAGCAAGAAGCCAAGGGTGGTGGTACATACCTTTAATCCCAGCACTGGAGAGGCTGAGGCAGGAAGATTGAAAGTTCAGGACCACTGTTTGAACTTAGCAAGACTCTATCTCAAAATAGAAAATAAAATAAGGGCTGAGTCTGTATCTTAGGGCAAAGGCCCAGGGTTCAATCCCCAGTACTGGGAGGGAAAACAAAAAAAGATTTTTTTCTAGTGTGGAATATAGAGCAAAAAAGAAGAAATCAGCTAGTGGTAAATACTACATAAAAAGTTAAAATAGAATGATCTCATAATGGCCCTAAATAAGTGGCTGATTGAGTAAGACTTTTCTGGGAAGGTGAATTTCCCCTGAAAGAGTGAGCCATGCAAATATTAGAGAGGCAAAAAAGCCATCTGGACTGAGTTTAGCAAGTTAGAGGAACAGAAGAGAAGGTAGTGCAGAAAGCTGGGTGTGGTGGCACACACCTGTAATCCCGGCACTCGGAAGGCTGAGGCAGGAGCATTCCTGTGAGTTCGAGGCCAGTCTGGACTACAAAGTGAATTTATTGCCAGCACGAACTGCATAGTGAAACCCTGTCTCAAAAAGACCAAAAAAAAAAAAAAAAAAAAAAGAAGGTAGTGTGATTGATATGTTGGAGGTGAGAGTGGTAAGAGATAGGGGTGGAGAGATGCGGAGTGGCCAGACCAGGTGAGCCAGGGCATTGAGTTGGAATTTTATACCATGTGTGATGGGGAAGCCGTCATCTTTATATTGACATGTGACAGATGGGTTGCGGTTGTGCAAAGGTGGAATCAGGGCTGATCAAGAAGCCAATGCAAGCCAGGTATGTGGCTCATGTCTGTCATCCCAGCACTCTGAGAGGCCAGGGCAGGATTGTAAGTTAAAGCCCAGTCTGGGCAACTGAATGCGATCCTATCTCAAAATTAAGGCAGGGGGCAGGGAACGTAGCCTAGTGCAAGGGCTCAGGAGTTCAGTTCCCAGGACCAAAAATAAATAAATAATAAATATATAAATAAAAGTAAAAGAGGCAGCCAGTGTGTTACTGTGGGTGAGTGGTGGCAGTGGCTGAGACTGGAGTAAGGTAGTAGAGATAGATGAGAGATTTGGAAGACATTTAGAAGTAGATACATTGATGAAATTGGATATAGCAAAGTTGAGGTAAAGAAGAATAAAGGTTGATTCCTATGCATTTGGTTTTGTTTTGCAGGGTAGGGTCTCAAACCCAAGACCTCACCCACGCTGGGCAAGTATTCTAACAGTGAGTTATATCCCCAGCCTCACTCCCATGCTTTGGCTTGAGCACCCGAATGCATAGTGGTGGTGTTTCTTTAGATGGGGAAGTTTAGAGGAGCAGCATATCGGGAGAAACAAGAAATCCAAATTCCTGTTTTGACCAAAATAGACTCTGTCCTGGGTTTATGAGACATCTATGTGGTGATGTCACCTGAGCATTTGAATGTAATAACTGGAGTTGTAGAGAGCATGAGTATTGGGTAAAGTTACAGAATGCTTTAGAAAAATGTTAGCTTGAACCATATGAAAATACCGTTTTCCATCCAAAAAACTGGATGAATGCTGGTAATTTCATTGGTTCAGGTGGGCTGGGGATTTAGCTCAGCGACACAGCGCCTGCCTGGCAAGTGCAAGGTCGTGAGTTCAATTCTCGGTACTGGAGAAAAACAAAAACAAACAAACAAAAAAACAAAAACAAAAACAAAAAGCAAACAAACAAAAAAATCATTGGTTCATTCCACTAGGTAATGTTTATTTGGATGTGAGGGCGATCTGGCTGTGACATCTGTTACCCCATTGATCACCAGGGTTGATTTGGCTGATCTGGCTGGCTAGGCGAGTGTCCCCTTCCTCCCTCAACCTTTCATGTGCATCCCTCCCGAAGCTGCATGCTCTGTCAAAGAGGACAACCACCCCCGATGGAGGAGGACCATTCGTTGGTCAAGGGTATACAAGTAGCTGCCCTCCCCTGCTGGTACCTCCAAACATGCTCTCAAGCTAATATTTATTTATTTGTTTGTTTGTTTGGTTGGTTTTTTGAGACAGAGTCTTGCCATGTAGTTCAGGCTGGTCTTGAACTCACTATGTAGTACAGGCTGGTCTCAAATTTGTAGTGATCTACCTGCCTCAGCTTCCCAAGTACCAGGATTACAAGCATGTGCTTCCATGCCTAGTTCTACTAGGTAATATTTAAAGCCATGGGATTGGAGGAGATCGTTGGAAAAGATGTAGAAAGAAGAGAAATAAGAAAAGATCCTGGACATACATTTATAGGTTGAGAACTGTAGGAGCCAGCACAGGACACTGAGAAAGAACTACAAGGAAGGAGGAATATGGGGGAGGAATACTGGGGAGGAATATGGGAGAGAAATACTGGGGGAGGAATATGGGAGAGGGATATGGGGGAGGAATACTTGGAGATGTCATTAAAGCCAACAGTGGAGCTAGGCATGGTGGCCCATGCCTGGCAGAATTAGGATTTTTTGTTTGGTTTTGTTTCAATGCTAGTGATTAAACCCAGGGCTTTTGCACTGAGCTGCATCCCTAGGACACCTTCTTCTTCCTCCTTTAAAAAAATGTAGGCAGGGGGCTGGGGATTTAGCTCAGTGGCACAGCACCTGCCTGGCGAGCGCAAGGTCATGAGTTCGATTCCCGGTACCATAAAAAAACCAAAAAACACAAAACAAAACAAAACAAAATGTAGGCAGGTCTCTCTAAGGTGCCCAGCCTGGGCTCAAATTTGCAGTCCTTTTGCCTCAGCCTCCCAGGGTACGGGGATTACAAGCATGTACCACCACACCTCCAATAATTAAGTTTTTTGTTTTGTTTAATTTTTAAAGAATTAAGTTTTAGCCAGGCGTGGTGGTGTATCCCTGTAATCCCAGCAGTTAGGAGGCTGGGGCAGGAGGATCATTGTGAATTTGAGGCCAGCCTGGGCTACATAAGCAAGTTAAAGGCCAGCCTGCACTGCATAGCGAGACCAAATCTCAAAAAAAAAATTAAGTTTCATAGCCTAAATTCATTGGAGGTACCTGTGAGTTGTCCAGATATAGATATGAGGTAGTGACTTTGCTCCCTCACACTTCCTTGAGTAGAGGCACTTTCTGTCTGTGTGAGCGTGCCGAATAGATGGTATAGCTTAAAAGCCTTCAGCTCTGCTGAGGAGAGGATGTGTCCTCGAGCACGAGGGTACCAAAGGGAACTTCCCAGAGTTGCAGAGACCTACACTTGTCCTGATGAGTGGAGAGGCTTTGGAGAGGATATGTATTCTGGGGGGAGGCAAAGGAACAGACCAGGCAAGGTAGGTTTTGGTGAGTAAAACCAGGGTCCTCCTGAGAAGCAGTGGTATCAGAAGTTGGAAAGAAGGCCAGGTATGGTAGCGCACACCTGTAATTCCAGCACTTGGGCGGCTGAGCCAGAACAATTGTCAAGAGATCAAGGCCAGACTGAACTACAAAGCAAGACTGTCTCAAAAATACAGAAAAGGAGTGGGGCAGGGATAAAGCTCAGTGGCATAAGTGCTTGCCTGGCAAGCACAAGGTCCTGAGTTTGACTGCCGGTACCAAAAAAAAAAGAACAAGAAGTTGGAGGAGCTGGGTAGGATGGCTCACGCCTGTAACCCCAGCTCTCAGGAGGCTGAGGCAGGAGGATTGTTGTGAGTTTGAGACCAGCATGGGCTACAAAGTGAGCTCAAGGCCAGCCTGAACTGCATAGTGAGACCCTGTCTCAAAAAGAAAAAAGAAAAAAGAAAAAAAAAAAAAGAAAGAAATGGGTGAAGAATACTACTTGTGCACCCTCCTCCTGAATCACTGGTGCCTGCTTTTTAAAAATTTAAGAGCCAGGCCTGGTGGTGTATGCCTGTAATCCTAGCATTCGGGAGGCTGAGGTAGGAGATGGCCATGAGTTCAAGGCCAGCCTGAGCTCCATAGTGAGTTTAAGGGTAGCCTGGGCGAGACCCCATCTCAAAACAGACAGACTTATTTAGAGCCCAGCGTGATGCTGTGTGCATGTAATCCTAGCACTCAGGAGGCTGAGGGTGGGGTGAGTTTGAGGCCAGCCTGGGCTGCACAGTGAGACCCTATCTCAAAAAAAATTGTATATATATGTGTATGTGTTGGCAGTTGAACTCAGAATTTTACACATGCTAAATGTATGTTCCACCACTGACCTACACCCCTAAAGCCCACATTTTACAGAACAAGTTATAATCCCCTTGTTTCTCTAAATGCCTATTTTTCCCCCCTATCCTATCCCTAGTGTCTCAGTTGTCCTAGAAATTTGAGGTCAGTCCTACAGAACAGATGGGCTCTAGTTGATGTTATCTCTTCAGGAATTTAACTTGTCTCTCTAGAACACCTGCAGATGGCCCTCGTACTTCGTTTTTACGTTCGCCCCTCTGGCCACGAGGGGGCAGCGTGTGGACACAGTCTTCGGAAACTGCAAGGGAAACTGCCAGAGCTGGAGAATGTTGAGACCGAGCTGTGCTACAACGTGAACTGGACAGGTTTGGGCCAGGTATTGGGTTCTTGAGGGAGGTGCCCCAGTGCCAGGGCGGTGTCTCGAGTTGTCATTGCCCTGTCTCTGTAGCTGAGACCCTCCCAAGTGCCCAGGAGATGAAGAAGCTAAAGTGGCTGTTTGGCTGCCCCTTGTTCCTGGATGGTGTTGCTCAGGAGTCCTGGCTCCATCCTGGCTCCAGTGACCTGCTGCTGGAGGTCGGGCCCAGGTTTGTGTCTCCGCCTGGCAGCTTGTTCCATGTTTGGGGTGCATCCTCCGTTTCAGACTCTCTGCCGGCGCCTTCTGCTTCCATTCTCTTCCTTTCTCCTATGCTCCTTGCAGATTTGTTTTTCCTTTGTTCCATCCCACTCATCCCCCGGGAAGCTGTGCGTGCCTTCAAAGACTGAGCCAGTTCCCAGCATGTTCTGGGAGTAAAACGACTTGCAGCAGTTGTAACAATCTTGATTCTCAAAGGATGGTTATAGTTTGAGTGACATTCGAAGTCAGGGTTCTTGGCGCCCAGTCTGAGGCTGGCGGCCAGTGGTGAGGGCAGTGATTGGTGGGAGGTTAGTTGGACAGTAGCGGGCAGGATCCCTCTTCCCAGCTGAGGTCTGCCAGGGCTCTCAGGCCCTAACCATCTGGCCTACTCCTCAGGCTGAACTTCTCCACCCCAACATCCACCAACATCGTCTCCGTGTGCCAGGCTGCTGGACTGGTTGCTGTGGACCGTGTGGAGCCGACCCGGCGCTACCGACTCTCGGTGAGGCAGTCGGTGATCAGGATGGCAAATTAGGAGGTTGAGATGGACAGGAGATAAAGAGTTTAGGTCCTAAACTCTAGGGAAATAAGGAGAGAAGCCAGGAAGAGTTCTGGGCTTAGGACTACTCTGTAAGGTTGTGCCAGTCGTTTACACCCTGCAGGCCCCTGGTTGAGTGGTAAATGGGACAGAAATCCAGCCTGTGCTCCCTGCACTAATCTGCACACCACTATGTGGACTTGTGCCTGAAAGGGGAGTCTTTCTGTAGTCTGAACCCGTGCTATTAGGGGCCTGGGGATATAACTCAGTGCTGGAATATTTGCTTAGCCAGTACAAGGCCCTGCGTTCAATACCCACCACCACCACCAAAGAAAAGTTTGCCTGGGGGATGACAGTGGGCTGGCTGGCACTGGATGACTCAGAGGGCCAAGGATGGGCCATAGCTCTTCATTCTTCTGCTATCATTTGTCGTTCCTGTGTGTCTCATCCCCAGTTTGCCTGCCATCCTTCGGCTGAGATGAAGGCTGTGGCCTTGGCTGCCCTGCATGACCGGATGACCGAGCAGCTCTTCCCCCATCCCATCCAGAGCTTCCTCCCTGAGAGTATCCCAGCCCCGCTTAGCGGCCCCATCGACATCCTGGCAGAGGGCCGGTCTGCCCTGGAGAAGGCCAACCAGGAGCTAGGTCAGTGGGGCTCCCTGGGAGAGGAGGAGAGCGGCCAGGAGGAGAGAGCAGGGTGCTTGGACCTGGGATGTGGTGGCCTAAGCCCTGAAGTCAGCTCTTCTGCGCTTTGTCTCCCAGGTCTGGCTCTAGACTCCTGGGACCTGGATTTCTACACTAAGCGTTTCCAGGAGCTGCAGCGGAACCCCAGCACCGTGGAGGCCTTTGACTTGGCTCAGTCCAATAGGTGAGGGGGAATGAGTCCTTCCGGGTGTCTTTGCCCATGGAATTTGGGAGGGAGGACACATGGACTCGCCTTCCATGCTTTCCCTTGCTGGAGGGACCTCCCCGAGTCTGAGGTCCTGGCTTCCCCCTGTCCATCCAGGAGTCTACCTTCAAATGTTGGCTTTATTATCACTTTGGCTCTGTATAATCAGCAGGGACAGAAGGCTTGACAAAGACTTTTGGAACTGTTTTCTTTGTTCTTTTTTTTCCTCGTTTTATTTTTGGGATGTATTTTGATGTGCTAAGTGTAAATTGGCTGTAGCTCTGGTGTTGAATGGTGTCAAGAAGGCATGGCACAGAGGAATGACCCATGATCTGCCCTGTCTCCCCCTCTTTGTATCCCCTTAGTGAGCACAGCCGGCACTGGTTCTTCAAGGGCCAGCTCCACCTGGACGGGAAGAAGCGGGCACACTCCTTGTTTGAGTCCATCATGAGCACTCAGGCAGCCTCAAACGCCAACAATGTCCTCAAGTTCTGTGATAACAGCAGGTCAGCTGTGCCCTGGGTTGGGGCAGGCTCAGGGCCGGGGAAGGAAGGCCCCAGGTGCTGGGTGGGTTGGCACAGATCCCAGGAAGGAAGCAAGGTCCAGAACGGATGTGTCTGCAGTGCAATCCAGGGGAAGGAAGTCCGATTCCTGCAGCCCGAGGACTCTACAAAGCCAAGCTGCTTCCGGCAACAACAGCAGCTGAGACATGTCGTCTTCACAGCAGAGACACACAACTTCCCCACAGGTAGGCTGGTTCCCCCAGGAGAGCTGCATGAAATCAGAGTAGTAGGGTAGGGCAAAAGTTGAGCCTGGGATAAACAGGAAAGCTGGTTGTCCTTATTTCCTGGAAGGCAGAGATGGAATGTGTTTCTGTGGCACCCATGCTTCCCCCTCTCTCTTTGCAGGAGTGTCCCCCTTCAGTGGTGCAACCACAGGCACGGGCGGCCGGATCCGAGATGTCCAGTGCACGGGCCGCGGGGCCCACGTGGTGGCTGGCACTGCTGGCTATTGCTTTGGAAACCTCTTCATCCCAGGTCCCATCACTTTCCTCTCTCCCTCCCTACTGCTGTTTGTGGGTGGTCCTGGCAGGCAGCAGCTTGGATCTCTTAGGTCAAAGGGTCATCAGGATGCCTTTCGCGTAGGAGGGTGGGCTCCAAAGTATGCAGCTTTTCACTGACCACAATCGTAGGCAGTATAGGCCAGAGGGGAGAGAGGCTGCCAGACTAGCTTTGCAGAAACATGGTTTTCTTTAGAAACTAGCATCCACTCAGCCAGAAAATGTGATACTGGGTTGACTAATGGCCACCACTTGCCCCCCAAATCATTTCTTAGGAAGCCTTTTGTCTTCCTGGGCATAGTAGTAAACAGCACACTCTCAGAGGTTGGAAAGAGGAGGATCACAAGTTCAAGCCCAGCCTGGGTAACTCGGTGACCTAGCGAGACCCTGTCTTAAAATATAAAGGGGTGGGTGGGGCTGGGGATTTAGCTCAGCGGCAAAAACGCCTGCCTGGCAAGCGCAAGGTCGTGAGTTCGGTTCCCAGTACCGGAGAAAAAAAAAAAAAAAAAATATATATATATATATATATATATATATATATATATATATATATATATATATATATATATATATAAAGGGGTGGGGTGTAGCTCAGTGGAAAGGCCTTGGGCTCAATCCCTAGTACTACCAAAAAAAAAAAGAAGAAGCCTTAGGGCTGGCACAGTTCAGAGGCAGAGCTGTTATGTAGTATATATGAGGCCCCGGGTTTGATCCCCAGCACTGGGGGGGAAAAGGCGTGAGAAGAAAGAAGGCTGGTGTGGAAGACAGAGAGCAAAGACTGTTAAATTAGCAAGTTCTGCCCTTCTCTAAAATGGAATATTCTGAGCCTGATGTGGCGCATGCCTGTAATTCTAGCACTTGAGAGGCTGAGGCAGGAGGATCGCCGTGAGTTCAAGACAGCCTGGGCTACAGAGCGAGACCCTGTCTCAAAAACAAAACCAAAAAATAAAGTGGAACATTCTAACCACGTAGGTAGGAAGATGCTGGCTGGCTCTTCCATTTCCTGTATTTATGGTCCGTTTAACTCTCTTCTTCCCTCCCAGGCTATAATCTTCCCTGGGAGGATCCAAGCTTCCAGTACCCTGGGAACTTTGCCCGGCCTCTGGAGATTGCCATTGAGGCCAGTAATGGGGCATCTGACTACGGCAACAAGTTTGGGGAGCCAGTCCTAGCTGGTGAGACTGGGAGTGTGGAGGGATAGCAGATACCTAGTTCTAGAGGGGCTTGTGGGTGGGCATGTGGCCCAGGGGCTGTGGGATGAGGCAGGTGCTTGGAACTACATGACTGGTCCCTTGCCCTCTTTCTGATGTCCACATGCCAGGCTTTGCCCGCTCCTTGGGCCTCCAGCTCCCAGATGGCCAGCGGCGTGAGTGGATCAAGCCCATCATGTTCAGTGGGGGCATTGGGTCCATGGAAGCTGAGCATGTGGGGAAGGAGCCCCCAGAGCCAGGTAAGAGTCTGCCATCTTTCCCTTTGTCTGCTCGCATTCTCCCAGTAAGGGCAGCTATCCAGAGGGAGCTGGGAGGGCCTTTCAGTGGTTAGTGTTTAATCTCTGGCTCATGTCTCTCCCCCCAGGACAGGTGCTCAAGGCAGAGCAAGGCTTTATGCCAGCAAGGCAGCCCCAATTGGTGTTGCCTGTCTCCTCCCTTGTTTACTTGTGCCTGGTGGGGGCCCTTGCCCCACCCTTGCTGGTCCCTGCTTCTGAGTCACACTTTGCTAGTCAGTGTTTACTCGGTACCTGCTATGTGCCAGGGACTTCTATCTGCTGGCTTGGTTCAAACAAGCAAACATTTATTGAGTGCCCGTTGTGTGCCGGGCATTATGCTAAGAGCTGTGGGGGAATTGAGATAAAAGCCTTGCTCCCATTTACTGACCAGGAGACCCAGTCATGTGGCTCAAAATTCAAAAGGGGACAAGTTTTGCTGTGAAAACTTCTCCTCTTGCCCTGAGGTAGACCTATTTATTCTTTTTTTAAAAAACACATATACACATTTTTCAAGTAGTCACTTTAATTCACGTACCATAAAATTCATCCCTTCAAAGTGTATAAGTCAGTGTTCTTTTTGTTTTTTAAATTTTTTGTCTGGGGCAGTTTGAAACAGGATTTTACTATGTCGTTCAGGTTGGTCTTGAACTCACTATGTAGTCCAGGCTGGCCTTGAACTCACATTGATCCTGCCTCAGCCTCCCGAGTGCTGAGATTATAGGTGTGCACCCAGCAAGTCAGCGCTTTTTAGTATATTCACAAAGTCATGTATCTATCACCGCTAGTTCCAGAGCATTTCTGTCATCCCAGGAAGAAATTCTATATTCCTTAGCAGTCATTCTTCACCTCACCTGCAGGCTTTGACCACTAATCTACTTTCTGTCTCCATGGATTTGTTTGTTCTGGGCTTTCACGTAAATGGGATCTTCAAATACATGGCTTCTTTTACTTAGCTTTTTTTTTTTTTTCTTTTTTTTTTGGCACGAGCAGTCGAATTCACCGCTTTGTGCTTGCCAGGCAGGGGCTGTGCAATCACATTGTTTCCAAAGCTCATTGACATTGTAACACTGTAGCATGTATGAGCATTTCATTCTCCACTTCCCTCACCACTTTTTTTTTGGCAGTGGGGGTTGTTCAAGGCCTTTCCACCGGGCGACATCCCTACCCCTATCCCTAACCCTTTTTAAATTTTTTATTTTGAGACAGAGTCTCAGTAAGTTGCCAAGTTGCCCAGGCTGAGCTCAAATTTGTAATCTTCCTGCCTCAGTCTCCTATGAGTACTGGGATTATAGAGGTGTGCCACCTCTTTCATTCTTTGTTTTGTTGTTGTTGTTCGATTGCTTGCTTGGTTGGGGTTTTTTGTCTTTTTGAGGCAGGGTCTCGCTATGCAGATCTCACTTTGTAAGCCCAGGCTGGCCTCAAACTCACAGACATCCTGCCTCAGCCTCTGGAGTGCTGGGATTACAGGCGTGTGCCAGCATGCCCAGTTGTCTTTTTTTTTGAAACAGGGTTTCACTGTGTAGTTGGAGTGGTCTTGAACTTACTGTGTAGCCCAGGCTGGCCTTGAACTCAAAGCAGTCCTCTTGCCTTAGCCTCCTGAGGGTTGGGATTACAGGTGTGTGCCACCATGTCTGGCTCATTTCTTTTTAAGGCTGAGTAATGGCTCATTAGATAGATACATCACATTCTATCTATGCTCCCCACAGGTGAACTGCTTTTCTCTTTAGTAATGCTGCTGCAAACATTTACGCCCCTGTCTTTGTATGAACTCACTTCTCGTGTAGAAAACTAAGAAGAAATTCTGGATCGCATGATAACTATGTTCAACTTTGTGAGAAATTTCCAAATTGCTTTCCAAAATTCCGTATCCTCAAAAACACTCATTATCTGTCCGTCTGATTCTAGTCATCATAGTGAATGTGAAGCAGTATCTCATTATGGTTTCAACTTGAATTACTTTTTTTTTTTTTTTTTTTAAGATATTCTCAGGTAGATGTTGTGGCTCTTGCTTGTCATCTCTGGGAAGCTGAGGCAGGAGGATTACAAGTTGGAGTCTAGTTTGGGCAATTTAGTAATTTAGCGAGACCCTGCCTGTTTGTTTGTTTGTTGGGACAGGGTCCCCTATGTAGGTCAAGCTAGCCTTAAACTCACTGTGTAGCCCAGATTGGCCTCAAACTTGCAGCAATCCTCCTGCCTAGTCAAATGACTTTTGACAAGCCGGGGGAAGGTTCAATCCCCAGTGTCACAAAAACAACAAAATACAAGTACCAGATACCAGGTGTGGTAGTACATGCCTGTAATCCCAACCCTTAGGAGCTGAGGTAAAAGGGTAGAAAGTTTGAGGCCAGATTGGACAATACAGAGTTTAAAGCCACCCTATATCATCTAACAGGATCTAGTCTCAAAAACACTACTATTGTGCAGCTCAGTAGTAGATAGAGCATTTACTGGTATGTGCAAGGCCCTGGGTTCAATCTACAACACCAAGTATACACACACACACACACACACACACACACACACACACACACAGAGGCAGTTGGCTGTAAATATGGGAGTCCATCTCTGGATTCATTTCTATCCCACTGACTAATACTTCTGTTCTTAACATTAGTAAGGCTGTGTCTTGATTACGGGAGCATTGTAGTAAAGCAGAAAGTAGGGTGAGGGGTGTAGCTCAGTGCTAGTGTATGTATAACATGCACAAGGCTGTGGGTTTGATTCCTAGTAGTACCAAAACAATCAAACAGATAACTCCAAAATGTGAAAGTAGTAAGACCTCCAGTTTTATTTGTTTATAGTATTGCTTTGACTGTTCTGTCTCTCCCCTTTCCAATGTGAATTTGAAGATCAACTTGTCAGTTTCTGCAGAAGAGGTGGGTAGGTTTGGTTAGGCTTTGTGTTGACCCA